CTGATAATGCATCATTCAGTGGCTGCCTTCCCTCCTTTGATTCACCTTCCCAAATAACCCATTTCTGCTTAAACCTTTGTCTCAGGTCTACTTCTGAGGAAACCTAAACAAAGACTTCCTCCTAAAAGGTCCTTTCCTGAGAGGGGTGGTAGGCTAGCTCATCACCATGTAAGCCATTAAGTCATTTAACAAGATGGAACACTGCCTGCTAACCTTTTGTTCATATAATTTTCCAGCCTACCATTGTCCACTGATTTCATGGCTCTCTTGGGGAGGTCTTTGCTACTTGCCCCTCCCATTCTGCCAGTGATAGTATAAACTTTTTTTTTTGGTCCGGTCATGGGGCCTGAACTCTGGGCCTGGGTGCTGTCCCTCAGCTCGTCGGCTCAAGGTTAGTGGTCTACCACTTGAGCCACAGCACCACTTCCAGCTTTTTTTCCCCTGCTTATGTGGTGCTGAAGAATTGAACCTAGAGCCTCATGCATGCAAGGCAAGCTCTTTACTTCTGAGCCACCTTCCCAGCCCTAGTGTAAACTTTTAAATTAAAAATAAAGAAGATAAATGTGGTTAGCAAGCCTTAGACTCAACTCTGACAGGGCAGGGGAGATGCTATGACTAGAAAAATCCAGCCAGCTTGATCTCTCTGATGAAAAATAAAAATGAGGTATTTGACTTGGTGCCAATGGCTCATACCTGTAACCTTAGCTATTCAGAAGGCTGACATCTGATGATTGTGGTTCGAAGCCAGCAAGCAGGAAAGACCATTAGGCATTAATCTCCAGTTAACCACCAAAAAGCAGGAAGCGGAGCTGTGGTTCAAGTGGTATAGCACTAGCCTTCCTTGAGCAAAAAGGATAATGCCTAGGTCCTGAGTTCAAGCCCCAGGACCAGAAAAGAAAGAGGTACCTGAATCCAGTTTTCTCACTGAAAGCAAAGAGTTTTCACAGCCAAGTGGAAATGTAAAAAATTGTGAGGTGCCAGCTGTTTGATAAATGTTCAAGGTTCATATCATGCTCTGGATGGAAATGATCAGGAGATACATCTTGGTATAGGGCCTACCTTTTCCTACTTAAGATTTGAGTGTCATCTAGGTTAATGGTAGGGCAGACCTTGTCTCTATAATAACATCCCTGCCCTCCTGAACATTTCAGATATGGAGGATATATTACTTCTATTTATTTATTACACTTAACCCCAAAATGATGTTTCCTTTAACTGAACTAACAAAACATTTTCCCTTTACAGTTGTCATTCAGTGGTGAGAATTTTCTTGGGAGAAATTGCTGAACATGTTGGGTACCTTATTGCACAGGCAAATTTGCGACATGTGAAAATATAGTTTACATACCTCTTGAGTTTTCGTTTTATGTCCCCAGAACAAACTTTTTCCATTCTTTCATCTTTCCTTAGCATTTTCTTTTTTTCTTTTCTGCCAGTCTTAGGTCTTGAACTCAGGACCTGAGCACTGTCCTTGAGCTTCATATTTGCTCAAGGCTAGCACTCTACCACTTGAGCCACAGCGCCACTTCTGGCCTTTTCTGTTTGTGCGATGCTAAGGAATCAAACCCAGGGCTTCATCCATGCTAGGCAAGCACTCTACCACTAAGCCACATTCCCAGCCCCTCCGTAGCACTTTATGGCATCTTTCTACCCTTACATGTTGCTGTCATATGAGGCACCAGCTGGTAGCATCCTAACTGTCCAACAAATCAGGGACTAGAAAATGTTTAAATAAAATTACAATATTTTAAAGCATAACAATGTAAGTATGACTTATCACATGGTTGGAGGAATGTAACCTATGCAATGAGAGTCCAATTTTATGAACAATATGCATAACAGAAACAAAAGACCAAGACACTAAAAATGAAAGTAGTAAACTGGGCGCTGGCTGTAATCCTAGCTATTCAGGAGACTGAGGCCTGAGGATTGTTGTTCAAAGCCAGCTTGGGCAAGAAAGTCTGTGAGATTCTTATCTCCAATTAACCACCAGAAAAAATGGAAGTAGTGCTGTGGCTCAAAGTGATAGAGCTCTAGCTTTGAGTGAAAAAGCATCCAGGTCCTGAGTTCAAGCTCCACCTCTGACAAACAAAACAAAACAAAACAAAACAAAACCCCATCCCCTCCAAAAGAAACAAACAAAAACCCTGATATTATTATGGTAATATTGAATCTATTTAAACATTTCTGATTTTTCTACAGAAAATACATATTTATTTTTAATTTATAAAAGTACTTTTGGAAAATAAAGAAAGCCAGCATCTCTTGCTAGTTTCAGTTTCAGATGAGGATTAGACAGGTAAGTCAGCATAGCTGCTGTAGCTTGACAGCTCTGAAGCATTTTCACTACTTGAACTGGGATCTCTTTTGAGTCTGGCAACTGGCATGGGAAACAGACTGCCAGGAAGCATCTGGGCTGGCATTGAAAGGTTAATCATGGTGTCCTAGACCTTCAGAGGACTGAATTGTGGGTGCATCCAGAGGCAATGGGCCATCAACGTTCCAGCCTGATGGAAAACTACACCATCTTGTTGCACTCCAAGGGGAAAGATGGTTTAGACCAGCTAGCAGAACCTTATGTGGATATTCCGAAGGTTCTGGTTCCTGGGAATGAATCTCAGAAAATGTCAGTGCTAGTGGCATGATGGCTCAAAGGAACAGTACCCAGGTCACAAGTTCAAGCCCCATGACTAACAAAACTAAACAGAAACAACAACAAAAAAAAACCCAAACCCAAAAATGTCAGTGCTTCTGCAGCTCTTGAGGGTGCTGTGTGGCCTTGAAGTTGGTATCAGTGCATTATTCTAGCATCCTTTTCCTCTACAAGGATAGACCTTAGTATAGCAGTCTTGGAGAAAGTGTAAATTTGTTTTAGTCTCCCATCAGAGACATCTCCAGGGCCTGCAGTTATGGAGAAAGAGAGAGGCACTGAGGTTTAAGTCACAGTCAGGAGGTCAGAGAATGTCTTTAAGAAAGTCAGTGAACAAGTGAGCAGACAGCTCCTTGCATTTTAGTAGTGGGGAAGCAGCCATAGGAACAGGGAAGAAGACTTAGATGACTGACACCCACAAGACCATAGAGCAGACTCCACAACTCTCATGCAGTTTATTACTATCTTCTCTACAAATGCTGATTAGCATCACTGGGAATAAAGCTTCGGTTAACGCCTGCCATATCTTTCTAGGACCACAGTGGCTGAATTGTGCCTGAGATTTACTCTATGTTCTTTAGTATTAAAAAAAGATGCATAGATCAATTTGCATGCTTCTAGATTCAGAAGACCCATGTAGGGAACACAATCACATTGTTGACCTGTTTCCTGATGCTCAGTGCAACAAGCACATATAAAATCTCCACTTCAAGACCCAATGTAAGGAATTGTAACTTCTTGGTACAACTACTTAACAACAATAAAAACAAAGGGAAAAAATCCCCCAGTGCCATTTTGAAATGTAGACATATACTTCCAGGGCAAGACACTCAGAAATTCTACCCCTAAACTATGGCTTGCTAACATCCTTCTAGTTGTGTCCTAGTTCTTCTAAATGGAAGTCTTTGTAGCTACTGAGATTATATATTTTTTATACTTAGGTCTGGAGTTTATAGGGGCAGCATAGCTTACTAATAGTTGGGCTTGTTAAATGTTGTTTTTTATTGTAAATGTCCTGTACAGAGGGGTTACAGTTACTATATATTGAGCATTGTTACCTCCTCCTTTGTTTTTATTCTAGCATCCTTTTCCTTCCCACCTCCACAACTCCTTCCCCCCCACCCAAGCTGTAAAGTTCATTTTCAACATAGTGTCTTGTATATTTCATTGTTACAATGGGTCATCCTGTGTCCTTGTTTCAGCATTTTGTTATTTCCCTTCCCCTCCCCAAATTAGAAAAATGTATATACAAGATGCAGGGCACTGACATCAAATACAGTGAAAATAGGGGTTATACCATGGCAGAAGAACATACAAGAGAAACAAAAAAAATCACATAGTACATTTTAAATACATTAAATAGTGAGAAAGAAAAAAAAACCACTTGTGTCCCTATCTTGGGGCTCATTTCACTTATCATCTTATATGGTCATATGTATATAGCTTTTGACCTTTTCTGCTTGTCCTAGACTTATACTAGTTATTGCAAATGAGGGAAACCATGGGACCTATGTTTCTTTGGGCCTGGCTAGTTGGGATAATTTTAAATGCACTTACCAAAGTTTAAAATTGTAGTCTCAGGTTGAAAAAAGGGATCAATCATGTTTAAAGGGCTTGCAGGTTTCATCAAGAAAGCAGAGCATGAGTTATGGGGTGGTCCTAACCTAGCAGAGCTGATGTGGTCCTGTTAATCACCTGTTTGTCAGAGGTTGCTCAGTGAGGTGCCCAGTGTGGGGATTTTCAGTGCAAAGAGGTCATAAGAGATAAAAATAGTAAAAACAGATAATGTTCTTACTTTCATAAAGTGACAGTTGCAATATGAATTGCTGAGGCTTGTGGCTTTTTGCCTCTGTTTTGGTCAGCAAGAACCTAAATGGCTCGTTTCCACCCTTCCCTTCAGCATTGTCAGCTAGAGTTGATTTAAGCCTTGCCAAGTCGCTCTCTTCTCCACCTGCTCTGTACCTAGTTTCTTGGCACTCTGTTCTTTCGAACTTCAGCTTGTTTTCTTTTCTTACAAAGCTGCCACCTCTGCTTGCTGCCAGGCCCCATGCTTTGACGTTTGCCTTTGGCCAGAGCTGTGGCTCTAATAAGATGGGCTGTTCTAGTACGTGTGTGTGTGTGTGTGTGTGCGCGCGCGCGCGTGCACACACATGAATGTGTGTTTCAGTGTGTCTGTGAGTGCATATGTACATGCATTTTGGGTGCATGTGTGTACCCCATGTTTTTACATGCTTAATTCTGTGTGTACATTTGGTGTATTTACACTCAGGTATATTCCTAATAACCAGGGGGCACCAGAACACTTTAAAGCATGCATTCTTCTGTGCTCCCCAAATCAGCTTGTACTTACATAATTGGAGGCCAGGTCTGGGTGGAGATAGTCGATTCCTGTGAAAAGATAACAAGAACACAGGAATTAAAGGTTAATACCTGCCACTGGACTCAGGAAAGCTGCTCAAGAAAGCACCTTTCTATAGAGGGCCAGAGCCAGGGGACTTGTGGTAGGGATTGAGGGACTTGAGTACCCACCAGAGCACAATCCCCCAGCCTTGTAATTTCTGTGTGAAGGCTGTGCTCAACAGAGAGCTGGCTGCCTCTGTCATGTTGCAGAAGAGTGAAACCAATTAGAGCCTGGGGCCGAAGGATAATGCTTCTGAAAAAATGTCAGCCCTAAGGGGCTTAGTGACTGTGAGATGGATGGCTCATCAAAGCACTGATCTAAAAGAGATGTGTAGAAACCCTGACATTTCTAAAGCACCAACTGGCTTTTCTTGTGAAATAAAGCTGGCCCTGGGGAGGAAAAGCGAAGATTATTTAACAGGGCCTGGACAGCAATGGATTAGGGGCGCATACTCTAGCGAGGAAATAAGAAGACATACATGGCTGGGTGAGAAAAGCCATTAGGAAAAGGGCAAATGGTGTCCAGTGAGGTATTCCTGGGTGGGAGCTGATGCCTGTCTCCTTGTAGAAAGTCAGAAGCTCTCATTCTTTCAATAGCAGTCCCATGTTTGTTGTTGAATGGGGGCCCAGTATAATTCCAAATACAGAGTTCTGGTCTAGGAGTGCCTCTGAGTTCCACTCAGATAATCATAGGATGATTATCATATGACGTCAAAAGAAATGGAAAAGCTCTCCTTAGGTCAGCAGAGCTCTAGAATTGTGGAAACAGCTACACCTGAATGTCTAAGCCTCTGGAGAAACAGAAACAGAGCGGATTCCTGTTACCACCTAGCAGAGTATGAGTGTGAATATTTGGAATCAAAGATGAGACTTTGATTCCAAACCACTTGGATGGCAGGCAGCAGAATCTCTGTCAAGTTGGTTGGGTTCTCTTGCATGCTTGCTTCTTGAACTACTGGAGGTGAGACAGGATGGGACTCAAAGAAATCAATGAATGTGGTGGGCTTAGCTCTGCAGCTGATGCATTTAATATCTATACTGAGATACTACAGTTATAGGCTTCTAAACTTATACTGTAGTGCTTATAAGCTGGAAGTATATTATGTGCCTCTCATAGCTGGCATCTTCACCACATTGTCTATTAAGCTTGGGCTACCATTTTATATATTTGATTGCTTTCTCCCCTCCCTCCCTCCCTTCCTGTTTTATGAAAACATCCATTCAGAGGCTCTGATGACTTGTGACTGGTACATAGTCTGTGTGGGGCTGATTCATGGCCAATAGATCATAAGGTATGTGTCATACACATAACAAATACTTGGCTATATTTTTGTTCATAAACATTAATTGCTTGCCATCTATTTGAATCTTTTCAGAAAGTATAACCCATAATAGCCTAAATTCTCAGGAAGCCCTGATAGTGCTTGAGACTCCAGAAACTAGCAAGGAGTTCCATGTGCTAATTCCCACTTAGAATATCAGTAGTTCAGTTCCACATTTCAGGATCTTGGCCCTGAGCTTGGTGCTTTTCACTGTCCTAGGGGAGGTAACATCTTGCATATCCTGCTCCTCCATCCCTACTGAACTACATAATGATGAGGAGTGGAACTCCATTAACACATTTCATTTTCCAAAGATGGCAGCACCATTCCTGTATCCCGTGAGGTCTGGTGGATTTGTAATGGCTTCAATCAACAGATTTAGTGGGAGCTCAGTGTATGATTTCTAAGACCAGGACAGGAAAGGCCAGGCCTCTTCTACCTGTTTAAGGCCAGGCCTCTTCTACCTGTTTCCTTCAAGTGTACACTTTGGGAGAAACCACGTGTGGTGTAGGAAGCCCAATGGAGTGTGATGACTGTCTATAATTTTCACAGTTGTTCAACATTCATTTGGAATGTTGCTCTAGCTTTCTCCTGCCATGAGCAGGGCTCAGCTATCCTTGACAAACAGGAATATTTTTGTATTAATAAGTTTTTTATTGTGAAAATACCATACAGAGGGGTTACAATTACATGAGCAATAGCCGGGCGCTGGTGGCTCACGCCTGTAATCCTAGTTACTCAGGAGGCTATGGTAAATAATGCTGCAATGAACATAGTTGTGCTGGTAGCTTTAGTGTGGTCTTGTTTGTAAACATTTGCGTAAATGCCCAAAAGTGGGATTGCTGGGTCATAGGGGAGTTCTATGTGAAGTCTTTTGAGGAACCTCCATACTGATTTCCAAAGTTGAACAAGTTTACATTCCCACCAACAATGAAGTAAGGTTCTTTTCTGTCCACATCCCCTCCAGCATCTGTTGTTGTTAGAATTCTTGATTTTTGCCGTTCTAACTGGGGTGAGGTGATATCTCAATATTATTTTGATTTGCATTTCTTTTATGGCTAGGGATGTTGAACATTTCTTCATGTGTCTATAGGCCATCCTTCTTTCTTCTTCAGAGAAGTTTCTCTTTAAGTCTTTTGCCCACTTATTTATTGGGCAGTTGTTTCTTTGAGGATTTGTTGTTGGGGGATTT